TGTACTATCCGGCCTTTTGCAGAAAAAGTTTGCCAATCCCTAACTTAAGGTCAACAATTAAAAATTGAACTTCATGAATTGGTAGATGAATAATTATTAAATACTTACTTGATGATTACTTAGTGTTGTATTCAAGACTTTCCAGAATAACACCTCAAGCCACCTATCTAGTTATATTTATTATTATTATATGTATATATGTATGATGATAATAACAACACCTACTTTTATTGAACTCTTACTATGTGCCAGGCAATATGTTAAACACACACATTCATACACACATACCTCATTTTTCTTTACAACAACACTATAAGAAAAGCTGTTTCACAGGTGAGGAAACTGAGGTTAAATATGCCAGGATTTCAGTTTAGGTTTGTCTGATACCACAGCCCAAATTTGTTGTAGATGGCCCCTCCATTCCTTAGTGTTTCCACCATGAATATTATATTCTATTCAAACTGAACTCTTCCTTATTCCACAAATGTGCCTAATTCTTTCTCATCTCTCTACCTTTTGCTCATCCTACTTTCAACTTTTGGAATGTTCTTCCCACTCATTTCTTCATGTCTAAATTTTACTAACCTGTCAGAGACCTGCTTAATCATCACCTCTTCCCTGACACTTTTCCTGAATCCCCAGCTAGAAGTAATCTCAGTCCTATTTGTCAGCTACATAGCAACTAGCATGGTCTCTGGTGTACTTTAACTGTTAATGCTAGAGAATGATGTTAAAATTCTACACTGTGACATTGCACATGAATTATTTTGTATTCATAGAATACTTTTCTTCTAAAAGCTCAAGTAAACTGGAAGGTGTTTTTTTCTAAGCTTGTTATTGTAGAGGAAACTGACAGTCATAATGCATAATCTAATGCGTAGTAAGGGAATCTGACTAAAAGATGTCTTTTATTTCAATCTGACATTGCAAGTGAATTCAGTAATTTTCTCTAAGCAGTTTTTACACACCTCATTTCCTTTTCATCAGCAATGTTTTGTAGCTGCAGGTGTGAAATGTAGGTTGACCATGTAAAACTACCTTGGACAAAGGCTGTCATTTTACAAAATCCACTGGATAATTGCTATTTTTTTAATAATATATAATAAAGGATATTTTAGGAATAAATCAGTTTCCTCAGACTCTTATGCATGTTCCAGAATATGCTTCTCATTTGGATTTTCTCCAAAAGGACCACAGAATTATAAAAGCCAGATCACCTTTCTCCATGTAATTAAGGGCACTTGTGATGGTTGCCATTGACACACAGTTTTGCTTTATTCACTTTATTTCACTTAGTGTTTTTAAAAGATTGCATTGAGCTAAGAGCTATGTAGGGGATAAGGGAACTGTAAGTCTCTGTGAAAATATAACCTAGTCTGGAAGAGATAATGAACAATGCAAGGTAGTATAAAATCAAATTATCTGTGTAATGGTGCAGATCATGGATTCAGAAGATGGAGACACTTATAGTCTTTTCTAAATAATTTAGTACTTGATTACCCTCTATCTTTTACTAGGTATTAAATTACTTATAAGAAATATTCAAGAAGCTTTTGCTTTACGGTCTGCATGGACTACCTAGCAGTTTTTCTGGCTTTGATACAAAGGCAGTCAACAGGGCCAGCTCTTGCAGTGAATCATTCCTGAAGAGATCATCTCTTATTCCTGGAATTAAATTCTGTCTTGACCAATTTGTGTTACTAGGTAAAAGATGCTGGTCTCAAATCCCACCCAAGTACCCACAGTCATTACTCTAGATATGTTATCTACAAAGCGTTACTATTTATCTTTTTGCTTTTCACTCTGGATTTTCTTTTCCATATTTTACTGTAGTTTAGTTCTGATGATATTTGGTTTGATAGGGAAACTAGAACTTTAGTTCTGATGATATTTGGTTTGATAGGGAAAAAGAAAATTCAAATTTATTAAACCTATACTATGTGTATGATAATGTGCTAGTTATTTTTCATATGTATTCTCTCAATTTTCTGCACACATAAACCCTACAAGATAGTTACTTATCATCCTTATTTTTAAAGTTAAGGAATCTGAAATCCAGAGAGGTTTAATAAATTGTCTAACATTGAACAGGCAAGTTTTTCACAGACTTCAGCATCTGGTATTAGAATGCAAGTTTGCATGCTTTTTTGAATTAACAGTTACTAAAAGACAAAGTGTTATGTTTAATGTTATATGTCTTGTTCTAACAAAAGTTCAAAAAGTTCAGTAACAAAAGTAGCACCGAATTGAAGATGAGACAGACAATAGAACAGATACCATGAGTGAGAACCAGAGACATGGAAATAGATCCATTGAGACTTCAGATATTAGAATTATCAGACACAGATTTAAAAAAACCAAACAACTGTACTTGCCACTTTCCAATAAATGAAATAAGCTTGAAAATGTTGTTAGGGAACTGAAAAATGCCAAATGGTGACGTAGTGTATTTGAAAAAGAACCAAATAGAAATTTTAGAGCTGAAAAGTATAATTGGAATTAAGAAAATGGTTTGATAGCAAACTAGAAGCAGCTGAAGAAAGAGCCAATAAACTGGAAAATGAATATAAGAAATGATTCAGAATGCAACACAGAGAGACAACAATGAAAAGTACAAAAGAGAGAATAAATGATAAATGACAAGAATAAAGTCTGTCTAACATTATTTCATTGGAATCCAATGAACATTAGCTATTATTATTACTATGTCACTCCCTGCTTAAATATTTTCAATATTTCTCATTGCCTACAGAATTAAGTATCAACATATGTTAATAAACTTCCTTTTACTCATCTAAATTCATCTCCAACTTCTTCAAAACATAAAATAACAGCTTCATCTGTGCTCTTTCTACCTTCATGCCCGTATGTTTTATGTTCTGTTCCAGCTTTCTTGCCTGAAAATTGAAGCCTTTCACAACCATCTTCCTTCCCAGCCACAGTCTGATTGCTCCCCCTTCTGCTTTTTCATCATGCTTCATTTATCTGTTATCAGTTTTCAAGTTATATTGCATTATAATTTGTTTGCATGTCTGATGCCACATTTGATTGTATACTTCTCAAGGGCAGAAAGTTTTAAAAACTTTAATAGAATTTATTTTTTAGAGCAGTTTTAGATTCACAGCAAAATTGAACAGAAGGTACAGAAAGCTCCCATATACCTCTTTCCCCTCTACAAGCACAGCCTCCCCCACTATCCTCTGTGCTCCACCCTTCATCACTCCCTACCCACTAATCCCTGATAGAGGTTCTTTTTAATTTAATCTTAGAACATAACATAATTCCTGACACATAGTTGCCCCCAAATAAATGTTTTTATATATATGGTTGAATGAATGAAGGAAGGAACCACTTGGAGAGAATCAGGGCATCTTGTCATTGTCTCGTTGACTGATATTTTGTTTCTGTTTTAATATTTACTCATATTATTCTATCCTACTCAGAAGACCATCCCTACAAACTATTGTCTTTCAGAACCCTGCCTATTCTTGAGATGCTATTTCAAATCCCACCTTATCTACTAAGCCAGAGTCAAAGAGTGAGCTCTGGACATTTTTAAGATTTATTTTATTTTATGTTTTATTTGTATTTATTTATTTTATTTTTTTATTGCTGTAACATTGGTTTATAACGTTGTATAAATTTCAGGTGTACATCATTATACTTCTGTTTCTGCATAGATTACATCATGTTCTCATGTTCACCACCCAAACAAACACTAATTAAAATCCATCACCACACACACGTGCCTAATCATCCCTTTCACCCTCCTCCCTCCCCTCTTCCCCTGTGGTTAAGATTTATTTTATAAATGATCTATTTAATTCAACATGTCACACTTGTGTTTTTTGTTTCATGAGTCTATTTCTGGATTTCCTGAATTATATTTTTATGTGGTGGGTAGAGTTTTCATCCCCTTGCTTTTTATGAGCAACAGCTGCCTTCATAAATCATTGCTTTTCGCTTGGGATTGTAGACAAGGACCAGGGAAGAGAGAACTTTGCTGGTCTATAAACAATTCACAGTCTCAGTCATTTTTGCATCAATTCAACTATCTAGGAGAGAAAATTATTGGGAACTAATTAAAAACATAACAGGGAAGTAAATTTTTTGCAGATTTGAGCTTGCAACAGTTTCCATAAAAAGCTATGTAGAGGATTGCCAAATTGTTGTTAAAATAATATAACTTTTTATGTGCTAGCAGGAGTTATTTATGGAACATTTTCCATCCTTTTCTAAGTAATTTAAACATACCAAAACTGCATCTTTGACGTTATTTTGTTTTGATATAAATTTAAGAAGAAAATGTTACACATGTCACTGATTTTAAAGTCATCACTTTCTTTATTTCTCCTCCCTAATACTGAACATAATGGAAGATTAATTTAGATTTTTGAAATTTCATTCATTTAGTTTTGACCATATAGGAGGATATATTTATCTGGGGTTGATAGTTTTATGTTTGTCTACATTATAAAACCATTTTGCAAAAATATCAGTTTTTCATCAAGGTTAATTCACTGGGATGCTTTTCTATAGTTTGAGGGATTTCTGGGAAAAGTGCTTTAAGGAGGCTTGAGTTTGGGTTTTATGAATCACAGAGATATGAAACTTCTACTTTAATAAAGATCAATAGCCATTTGAAAGATTATGGAGAAAACTTAGCCCAATCATATTCTTTTAGTTAAGGTAAGATTTTGTCGTTCATATAATAGTGGCAGTCTTAACAGCTATGCTGGATGATCTATCACTATGAATTGAATAATAACACTCTTCCTTCTTGGAATACTACAGGGGGTGAAATTTACCATTCTAAAAGAAAACAAGGCAGTCAATAAACATTATCTTTAAAATATACTGCTGAGCATATTCCTCATTATGATCTTGTGATTGATACCAATTTTAAGTTGAAATCTCAATTCATGTTCACTAAAGTAATTTCAAGTCTTAAAAGGTAAACTGAGTGATTAGGTTCATGGCAGTTCTATTTTTATTCACAGATAATGCCTCTGAGGTAGGAATTACTGCTCCAGGAACTAGTAACCATAGAAACAGCTCAACAGGCCCAACTCCTGACTGCTCGCCTCCATCCCCCGACACTGCCCTCAAAAATATTGTAAAAGTTATTCGACCCCAGGTAAGTGCCCAAAATGACATCATCTGCACTATCATGCATTTTGTTTTTGAATCAGTGCATGCACAACTGATATTGCAATGCCTGGACTATGTTATGTTACGTAAATGGATTTTTAGGTTAAAAGAAAGGACTTGGAAGAAGATGTTTCCTTCCCTTGGAGTTGATGATAGACATTGAAATCTGTATTAGCTTTTGGAAAAATGAATTTGTATGTTACTTGAAAAAAAACAAGTGAAGCATAGAAAAATGGCTATTTCACATCATTTTCCTCTCACAACATTTTAATAATTATGCTCCAATTATTGAGCTGTTACATGTTTTCTGGTGTTTCCTGCTCCTTTTGTCTTCATTTCTCTGGACATGCTGCATTATTTGTGATCACTTCTCTATCCTTCAACCCCAGTTGTTTTTATATATTTTCTTTAAATTCTCTATTCACTGTGATTTCTAACTGATTTTGTCTGTGTTTGATATTGCACCTCTCATTGCTCCTTATTTTCCTCCAGAGCTCATTTCTCTCTACCTAGTCTCTCTTTACCCTTCTTTTTTTTTTTTTTTTTTCCATTTCTGTCACTTTTCTGTATTGGTTTCTTCCTCTTCCCTCTTCTCTTTCAGTTGGATTTCCCAGTAGGCGGTTTGCAGGCAAGCTTTAGACATATCCTTGGGACAAGCTGTTCTGTGATATTTCATTGAAAATAGCACTTATAAAGCTGTTTGCATTATATTTTTGTCAACAGATGGACTCAGAACATGGAATTGGTGGTGTTCTCAACCTGGCTCACTCTGAATGGGCCTCATAAAATCCAAGAGAGGAGGACTTAGGATCCAATCAATGCCATTCACCATCTACTTAAATATAGAGTATGAACAAATCCTTTGAGGCAATTTGTAGGACAAATGTGTCTTTTTAAGACTATTTTGGTCTAAATGAGCAATGATTTGCTTAATATTTCACCTTCTTTACTGTAACTTATTTTGGATTATTTTTATTATAATCATATTCATCAATAAAATGGCATTTCAACTTTATGTATCCACTACAGTTTATAGAATACTTTCATATAAATTGTTTCATTTAAACTTCATCAGTTTCAAGGGAATGTATATTCTAGTGTTATGGATAAGGATATTGGCGCTCCAAAGGGGCAAGGTTGTGCAACTGAATCGAACTTCCTTTCCTTTCTTTAGTATAATAGTTGTCTCCTCCAGTCCTGCTCAGAGGTTAGAAAAATCCTCATGAAGTTGTATAACATCTTTATGAGGATGGAACTCACAGGTTCGTTTAGGCACAGATAACATTTCACACAGTGTCCTAACATGGGGAGGTGGAAAATCCCTTCTTCCTTTTCAGGGAAATTTGATCTAGTCCATTTGCTTCAAGAAATAAACCTCACTAAACCCAGGTTTAGATGCTAAATGTCACATTTATTATCATTGATTCTCTCATTATTTTAAGGTGTTTCTGGTGTTTTTGTGCAGCTATTACATTTCCAGCATTTTTAACTATTTAGTTAGGAGATTATCCTATGTATAAGTTAATAAAATCCATTACTAAACATATTTATTTTTATACCAACATAAATTGTTTAAAGTAAATGCATTTGGTCATTCAGTGAATGAAAAACAGATTCCTTTCTGCATATCTGTAATCTAATCAACTCTAAGGGATCTAACTCCATAAATCCTTCTTTGCATGTTCTATTTTATTTTGGTTTATTTTGGTAAACTTTGAAGAAAACTAGAGGTAGTATTAAAGCCAGAAATTCCATCTTGACTCCCTTCCTTGGTTCTGTCTGTTTTTAAGTGTTTATGAAAGTAACTGACTCCACCTTCCTTTTTTAGATTTTATAATGATGATTTAGGAAGGAAAAAATGAAGTGAGAAAGTCAGGAAACTAAGTATGATGGTATTTAAATTAGAACCACTGCAGCCTGTAAGTATATATGTAATAGAACAATGACAGTTAAGGTATAATTGGAAAAGAATATAACCTCATTTGGGCTACTCTTCCTTTTACCTCAGAACCTTTGGTGCATTACTTATTTCATTTTATGAGTTCTGATCTCCTGGGGCTCCTCATTCATTGTGGAGAGCAGGGAATAGAAAATTCAAGTGGAAGTAACTATGAGGGAGTATTGGAGTAGGACATATGATTTCAGGAAAGGGTTTGGAGACTAGAGGGTATGGGTGGGGGACAGCAAGATGAATAGACGAGGGACTCTGTGGTGTGTTCTGACAAGTCACAGGTGTGTCAGGGATGGAACAATGTCAAGAGCTAACTGGTCCAAAGAAAAGATTATTGGTTAGCTTGTATAAGTGCCTATATTTTGATCAAAAGTTTAATCCTCTAAAGTGTTTGCTAATTCTGGCTTTCTGTCTGGAAATGCAAGAAATGTGAAGTTAGACTGACTTGTGGGTATTCAAACTTTTTTTTCGTTTGCTAATTAAAAATTAATAATATAGTTGAAATGATCATTTCACTCTTAAAACTGGTGATGAGCCTTGAAAATAAAAGCATAAATGCAACCCTTATTCATGAATTTACATTTCTTTGCCAGGGCATTAACAGGTGTGTTCAGACTATTGTGAAAGGAATGATATAGAATAAAAGAGAGATAAATACAGAACTTTCATCTCATTCACTGCAGATAGATACTGTTTAGAGAAAGCAAGTTAGGTTACTTCCCCTTTGCCTCATGCATGCCTCTATCTAGTCTACTTTTCATAACTCTACTTATAAATGGAGAATATTCATTGTAACCAAGGAGTCCTTGCTTTTAGTATAAAGTAGGGCTAATTATACATTGCATGTCTTTCTGATTAGTCTGTTAATTACTTGGAAGCTACAGACTTGCTGTGCTTTGTTGGGTTTGATTTTATTCAGCATATTTATTAACTCACTAAGTCACAGCTGTTATTTCTGCATCCTGTGTTTGATCTTTTTACCTTTGCTTCTTTGGGCTCTTTCATGTCTTAAAATTCACCAGATTGTGAAGCATTCTATTTTCAATTCACAGAAACTGAAATATTTATATGCTACTGGTTTCTCTTTGTTGCTCTCCAGTATATTAACACACAAAGCTGAGTTTCCCTATTTAGATGAATTCACAAGGCTAGGTTCATTTACTTATACTTGAAAATAAAATTATTTTTAAACTTGAAAAAGTACTTGAAAATACTTGGAAAAAATATTACATTTGAATAAAATTTTAGGTAAGTCTACTGACATACCAGTTTTCTGCTAAGTAATTATATGCTTTTTGCAATGGCTTTTGTTTTTTTAATGTTTTCCTAGTGAAGTATCTTTTTTCCCCCTAATTGAAGAATAAAATACAATTTGATGAATTTTGGCTGTTGTATATGTAGGTGCAACCACCACTCAAAGCAAGATATAGAACATTGGTATCACCCCAGAAAGTTACCTCATGCCCCTTTCTAATTAATTGCCCCCATTCCTGCCTCAGAGGCAACTTCTTTCTGATTTTTATCACCATAGATTAGGATCACCTATTCTTGGACACTGAATCCTACGGTGTGTGTGTATGTTTTGTGTATGTCAGTATCTGGTTTCTTTCATTCAACGTAATGTTTTTGGGATTCACTCATGTTGTTCCTTTCTTTGCTGAGTAGTATTCTGTTAGATTAATATAGTACAACTTGGTTTTCCATTCTTCTGTTGATTGATACCTGTGTTTTTTCCTGTTGTTTGCTATTATGAATGAATATGCTGTGAATACTCATGTTCAAGTCTTTTTATAGATATATGTTTTCATATAGATAGCAAAGAGTGGAATTAGATGGGGTAGATAAGTAGCTAACTTTAAAAGAAACTTCCCAAGAGTTTTCCCAAGTACTTGGTTTATTTTATAATCCCCAACAGAAATGTGTAAGAATTTCAGTTTCTCCACATTCTAACAAACATTTGGCATATTAGACTTTTTAATTTTTTTATTTTAGCCATTCTTATGGGTGTGAAAAGATTCTCATTATGGTTTTAATTTGCATTTTCCTGGTGACTAATGATGTTGAGCACCTTTTCCTATGGTTATTTCCCATTCTTATATCTTCTTTTGAGAAGTGCCTATTTCAAATCTTTTTAATGGAGTTGTTCAACATTCTAATTATTGATTTGTAGTAATTCTTTATCAGTTCTCTTGTAATTCCAAAAGATATGGGTCCTTCATCAGGTTTATGTACTGCAAATATTTTTCCCCAGTCTGTGATTTGTTTAAATATTTTTTAATAGTACCTTTTGATAAACAGAATGTTTGAATTTTGGTGAGATCCAATTTGTCAATGTTTTCTTTCATGGTTAATGATTTTCGTGTCTTGTCCAGGTTGTGAATATATGCTCCTATGTTTTTTTGTAGAAGCTTTCTGCTTCTGGCTTTTTTATGTTTAGTTCTATGATCCATCTCAAATTGTTTTTATATTGTGTGAAGTAGGAGTCAAGATTCATTTTTTTCCTACATGGAAAAAGACTTTCCACATTGAGTTGACTTAATGCTTTAGTATTGTTTATTATTTTCACTTTCCAATTGTTTGTTGTTGATATATAGAAATGCAGTTGAGTTTTATATTATCCTTGTATCCTGCCACCTGGATAATTTCATTTAAAAGTTATGGTAGTTGTAAAAAAAAAATAAGTTTCTTAGGGTTCTCTCCTACCATCTGAGAATAATGATAGTATTACTTCATCACTTTTTTACTTCTTTGCTTTCTAATTTTTATACTTTTTATTTCTTTTTCTTACTGCTGTGACTGCAGGGCAATGGTGCATGGAGGTGGTGAAACCAAAAATGCTTGTCTTAGTCTCTATCTTTGAGGGAAAGCTTTCAGTATTTTAATATTAAGTATAATATAAACTGTAAGTTTTTATATGTACCTTTCTAATCCTAGTTTGCTGAGAGTTTTTAGCACAAAAGGGTGTTGAAGTTTTTCAGTTTTTTTTCTGTATATATTTAGATGATCATATGATTTTTTTTCCTCCTTTGTTCTGTTGATGTGATAAATTATATTATTTTATTTTTTAATGTTAATCCAACTTTGCATTTCTGGGATAAATACCACTTTGTTATGATGTTTTATCCCTTTTGTATAGTAATTGATGTAAGAGACGCTTTGGATAAAGCATTAGTGCATGGAGAGATGGATTAGATCTAAGGGAGTCAAAGATGAGTAATGATTTGAGCCTGGTTGGCTGGGATTTTGGAATGATATTAATAGATATAGGAGCAACTTGAGCAGAAGTTCATTTTGATGAGGGAGAGGGTGGCATGATAAATTTGGTTTTTTAAACTTATTGAGTGTGAGGCATGATATTCAAGTTGGAAATATGGAGCTTTAGTGAGAAAGGTAGGAGCTTAAGGTAAAGTTTTTAGAGTCATTTATAGAATTTGATAGTGAAAGGAGATAGTACGAAAGATAGAATGCTGGGAAATGTTTACGCTTAAGGAATATAACTTTTTGGGCACATAGTGTAGTCTACTTTTCATGCTTTTTTGGGAATGGATATTATTATCTTTATTATAGATGAGGAAATTGAGAACCTGGAAGTTTAAGTAACTTCTTCACATATACTTCAGAAATAAGGCCTTAGCAAAGGAGAGAGAGAAGGAGCATTGAGAGATATAAAAGAAGGAAGACAAAACATTACCATGAATATAAAAGGAGAAAAGAAAATTGAAGAAGAGATTAGTCAACATTGTCAAAACTTGTTGGAAGGTGGGGAAAAAGGGAAATCAAGAAGTCACTTTATTTGGTGATTATGAGGGCCAAGACCTTAAAGAAAATGCAATTT